CACAGCCACAAGATGGCGGTGCCCAGTCCCCTCAGCCCCACCAGGTGGTAGGCATGCGTGTCTCTTAGTTTCCTCAGCCTCCCAGCTGCCCAGGGCTGGCCCAAGGCGCAGGCAAGCCTCGGATGGCAGCTGCCCAACCTCCCAGGGTGCATACATGCTCCTGCCAGCCTTACTTTCCCTCTCTCCCTCTTCCCTGCCCACACATTAGCAGCTTCCTCCTAAGGTGGTGTCTGGAAAGAAAACTGTGTTTCCTCTCTAATCCTCTATACCAGGTTTAAAAAATAGTAATTTAATTTTTTAAATTGATTTTAGAAAGAGGAAGGGGGAGGGGTAAAGAGATAGAAACATCATTGAGAAAGAAACATCATCAATTTACTGCCTACTACTAGGGATTGACGGTGACCTCCTGATTCATGGGCTGATGCTCAACCACTGAGCCATAACCACTAGTCTATACCAGATAATTATAGATGGTAGATATCATCATACATAAAATAGTAGGACATGTGCTTCTCGATAGCCCTGATTGATTTTTTGGGGAATCACTTATTTCTTCTCATTCAAAAAAAATTGAATTTGAAAAAGATTATCTTTTGAAAAATTTAAAATCATTAGTACATAAAATTAAAATGTACTGGTTGCTGATATAGTAGTAATTGCAGAGACTATAAATAGAAAATATCTCCATGGTTCCATTCAACAGATAAAATCTTTTTAATATTTTTCTGAAAATTGTCAAGCCTTTTTGTAAGGGAAACATGTACATAATTGGGGTGCTAGCTTTATCTGCACAGGAGGAGTTTATTTGCATGTTAAAATTTGATATAAATACCATGGCTATGGGTGTGGGTTATGAAGTCAGAACCAGTGAGATTTAGATTTCCAAACCAGGTCTACATTTTCCTAAACATCACCATGTTAAATCAACCCCAGGCTTCAATTTGTGTTAGTGCAACAGGGACTGCACATACTCTCCTGCTGCAAACATTAGGAAACTGGGTAAATGTATGGAAACAAACCTGATCTAGAAATGAAACAATGCGGGGGGGCGGGGGGCACAAACCGTGGTCTCCAAAAGGAGCCCATGTTGTCCCTGGTTTCTCTCCCCAGGCACTTCCCAGGGCAGAGAATATGGAGGGAGGACAGACATGGGACATGCCTGCTTCACTGAGGTGAGGAGGCACCGAGGACTGAGGAACTGGGGTTGTAGGTATTGGAGAGGATGGGACCACAAATGGAATGAGCTCCAGATGTCCGCCTAAGAGGGACACGCCAGGCGAGGCAGAGAATTCTCAGTGCACAGACAGAGATGGAAGACAGCCTCCTCCATCCACAGGAGAGACTCAGTGAGCTGAAGGTGCATCTCAGTCATAAACCAGCTTGCAAGTGAATGTTGACTCTGAATCTACTTGAAGGAAGCTTACTCACAGGCCATAGAAAGATTACCCAGATTCCTAGTAACTTAACTCTGATCAATAAAATCTAACACCTGGAATCAATACACCACGGTCCAGCATTCAACAGCATAATGTTCATGTCGACAATTCAATCAAAAATTACTAGATTACCTACTAATGAGAAACATGATTAGGAGAAAAAGCAGTCAATAGAAACAGACCCACAGGTGACAGGGATGATGGAATGAGCAAACAGTGACTCTCACATCCTCAGGGGGCTCCATAGCAGAGTGGGGATTGCAGCAGGAAAACAGCAGACAGACCTCAGACTCCACAAACGAAGAGCCTCTGGAGAAACCCAAACAGGACAGGGAGACAATGGAAACCTGCAGACAGCAGGGAAATGCCAACCTCTGGTGCAGCAGCCACAGTACACTGTAAGCACAGCCCACATGTTATTAGTATCTGCATAAACATAAACCTCACTCTAAAATTCAGTTACCTAGTTCCTTTTACCCGAGACAGCATGTCTAGGTTTCAATAAAAAGTGCATAAAAGCAGTCTGCAGAGACAAAGCAAGCATTGGAGCCAGACCCAAACATGGCAATGCTCTGGATTATGAGCCTGTGAATTTAAAATAATTACTCTGGAGACTGTGCCAAGGGCTCTGATGGAAAAGGCAGGTGGCAAGCAGGGGCACAGGACCGATGTGAGCAGAATGGGGCATTCTGAGGAAGGAAAAAAAGGAATGCTGGGGACAGGAAACAGTTTAATGAGAAGGAGCAAGCCTTCAGAAGGCTCATCTGTGGACTGAACCCGGAAAAGAGTGACCTGGAAGGACCAGCAATAGAAACCTCCGAACTAAAACGTTAATACAAAACAGAATGACAACAACAACAACAAATAAAAACAGAACAGAACATCCCAAAACTGGGCACCAGTGCAACTGGAGCAATAGATGTGTGCTGGGAATACTAGAAGGGCGAAGAAGGAAATGAACAGAGGAAATAGAAGGTGTCCCCCAAAAATGTGTGAGCACTTTAAATCACTACCAATTAAATCTGCAAAGAGAAGACAAACCACAAACTCTAAATGAGATGGGTGAATTTCCTGGCTCTGCCTTTTTCCTCACCCCGCCCCTCAATTTCATAGCAAAACATGCCCCAAAGGGCAGCCTGTCATTACTCATCGCCCTCTCTTTCCATGTATGGCTTACATGTTTGTGTGAGCGTATGGTGCGTATGTGTGGACGGGTGGTGGGAAGGCGGCAAAAACTTACACCTGGTCAATTCAAGTGAGAGGTAACGTGATTGACATGATTATCCAGGTATTGCTCTTTCAGCATCTCTGTGATGGGTTTGAAGTTTTTAAAAATAAAATATAGAAATACGGAAAGTTAGTAGCTCAGAGAGGTGAGCAATTCAGACCATGTTAATTAACCACGCGGGCCCCTCATCTGCTCCTCTTTCTACGTGAGAGCAGACCCTGCAGCTGCAGCTGTGGAGAGAGCAGAAAGGGTCCCCAAGGAGAGGAGGAGCTTTGTCTCCTCCCTGAGACCTCACTCCTAGGTTGCCACCCCCAGCGGCTCTGGCACTGGTTGCACAGAAAGAGAACGGAGTTGGTGCTTTGGAGGAGAACTCGGTGAACATTTACTGCCTCCAAGCCCAGCCCGTGCTGTGTTTCCTGCGCGTATTATCCATTTTCTTCTCCAAGCAATCTTAGGGGTGGTGTCCCTGCACCGCCTCTTGGACATGCGCAGGGATCCTGAGTGCGTGTGCTGATGGCCCCATAAACTTTTGAGAAAATTGGGGATGGAATCCGCCTCCCCGACTTTAAGATCAGTTATCTGAAACGTCAACTTGGATGCTGGAATGTTCGAAGCCCAGAGCCTGAAGCCAGGTGGAGGGGGTTCCTTGCCCTGCCTTCCTCATGGAAGCTGACACCGAACAGGTGACTCATTCAATGGAAGCCTCACGTCCTCACACGTCAAAAGCTAGGGTGCGCCCTGCACAGTACTGGGGATAACATTCAGCAGATTCGTTCTTAGTTAGACGTGCCTAACAACTTTTACTTGTGTGGGATTCTTGAGAACCAGCCTCAGTAATTGTTAGTAATTTATGATGGAAGAGTTTTTGTTTTTTTTAATTTCAGGAATCCACATTTCCTGAGGTTCAGTATCATAGAATAAGCTATTGATATCTGTTTCGGATGCTATATCTCACTAGTTTTCTTTTTTACATAAATCACCTAATTTTCAAAGTATTCTAACAAACATTTAATGTATTTTTATTATAGCTTTAAATTCTGAGGAAGTTTGAAAATGGTCAAAGTCCATAATATCTCCTTAAAAGGCAGACAAACAAACAAAAACTGACACGAAGTCCCTGTTTTCCTCTTCCTTAACTTAATCAATCAATTACCAGTAATCATTAGACAAATACTGTGGGATCCATACTGAGTAAAATAAAATAGAATCTTTTAAATACATGAAAAACGCATAGGCTGAAAACTTTAAATATCTACAGAATTCCTCATGTATAATAGGAAGGAACCTAGCAGCTTTATGAACCAGCACTGTTTGGGGGGCTCGCTATATTTACCCAAGAACAAGGTGGGCACGTTAAGTGGTGACTTCCGCAGTTGGGACTGTTAAGCACCGTTTCTGAATGTGCTGACCGCCTTAGCATAGGTGGCCTTCAGCGGGAGCTCTCACTGGGCCAGCAAGGGCCAGTGCCTGGCCAGTGTGGTCTGTGGACAGGAGTGGCCCTGCCTGGGACCTACACCTACAACATCTCACTTTAAGCACGTCCCCGGCGCATCGCACACTCATGTTTAGAAACAGCGGATCTAGACCCTATGTTAAAGTGAGCAGGCGTCCCGCTTTTGGCGGGACAGTCCCGATTTTGAACAATTTGTCTCGCGGGACAAATCATTAAAAATCAGGACTGCCCCGCCAAAAGCGGGACGCCTGGTTACCTTACCCTATGTACCCCTTTGTTCTTGGACTACTGGTGTCTGCAGGCATAGCAATGAAGTTGGCCCGTCCCCCAAAGTAAAGCGGTGTCTGAATGTTACGTGCAAAAAGCAAGTCTTTGGCCGCCTTGAAAGCATCCCTGTTGGCTGATACACAGGTATCTGAGTCTCACCAAGCACGCCCACTCCCACAGGTGTGGCTCAATCTAATTGTCCACCGTGAACAATGGCCCTTAATTAGTCTTATTTGGGGAACTTCAGTGCAGGCTTTCATTTATAATTATTGCTGGTTAATTCAGCAGGATGACCTGGGGCTGTGGATGTGGGACAGGATGCAGGCGGGTGTGTGGAGGGCTCGGTGACACACCAGCCCACTTACTCCCATGCAGCTGCTGCCTAAGTGGGTCAAACTGGCAGAAATAACAGCGATTCAGGGGAGAGCGGCAGCCCCATCGTTTTCAGAGTGTTCGGCATTTTGCTTCAATTCCAATCAGAAACTTGCTCGTTTCCCCAGCATTTCAAATCTGCTTGGTAATTTACCTCCAAGCAATGTTTGAAGCACAAAAAGTTTTGTGCTTTTTTTTCCTCTTTTTAATTAAAACACCAGGAAACAAAACAAAACAACCTTACTTTCCAAGGGCGAAGCATTCCAGTTTTACGGACGAGTCCTTGGTGGCTTGCACAGTGTCGGGAAGGCGCACTTCCATCTTTGGTTCGTATTCCCCCATCACACCTGTGAAACATCAAAAGAGCTAGCAGCGTTCTGGAGAACGGAAAACAGGAGTGTCCCATGAAGTCCATGCTTCAGTAACCAGATTCAGGTGTCTTGTCCTTCAATTAACAATACTTGGCTATACTTTCATGACTGACAGGGAGCAAGAGAAAGTCATGATACCGTTTCAGTGGTTCGGCATCTCCCCTCCCCTGAAAAGCAAATGTCCAGGACGTGGAAGTGTCAGAAAAGAGCCACCCACTTCCCTGGGTCCCACATGAGCATCGTTAGAATGAATGTGACCGACAGAGAACTGAACACAGCATCCGCCATGCTCCCGGGTTACCAAGATGTCTCTCTCAGCGAGGCTCCACTCTGCCTCTTTTGCTGGGACTCCCGGGGACCAGGTTGGCTCAGGAATAAGGAAATTGTCAGCTAACAAAGTGAGAGGTCTGAGGCAGCAGCCCTTAATCCAAAAGTATCAGCATTTCCCCAACAAAACCTGTTCAGTGATCACGCTAGTTGGGATAAACAGAGATATACATATTCTTATGTCACTTTATTAAGCATTTACTGCTCAATAGCTTTGCTATACACAAATAAGAGTGTGTTTGCTTTGATAGCTTTTGAATGTCCAGTGAGGCGTTGTGGGCATGGGCTAGGCTGAGCGTGAGACCGCGGTCTGGTGGTTGTGAATGTGCCAGCTGCCAGGTGAGCTGGGACCAGCAGCAACGTGTCTCCACTCTACCCTCCTTGGCTTCATTCATTTAACCGAAGATACACAGAGGTTCTTTAAGAGTTTGGTTATTGTTTCACTGGAGTGACGGGTTCCTAAAATAAGCAGGTATTGGTGGCCAGATCAGTTGCGCCAAAGGCAAAAATTACAAAACACGTGGAAATGGAAATACCTCATTTGTAAGGTCTTGATCGTTCTGAACATTCATAAGGGTTATGAGTAGAGTATTGTGTCATTCCCCTGAATGGGGAAGGGTGTCACAGTTTCCATTCTCTTGACATCTGACATTTCTTGAGTGACAACTTTTATGATACACAATGCTCCTGATCTTGTTATCAAGAATGTGTTGATGGGAGAGAGGGGTAGGAGAAGAAGGGGAGTATGAAGGAGAGAAGCAGAAACAAAGGGAAACAGAAAAAAGGGGGGTGGGGAGGGAAGAAACAGTAGAATTTCTATGCATGTTGTTGACCTTAAGCTCCTCCCTCCAGGATCGGGGCGCTCCCTGAAGGGAGACATTGGGCTCACGGATAAATCTAGTGGCTGCTACGTTCTGAATGGAGACCACGCAAACCTGTTGGGTGGCCAGTGATTAGAAAAGATCTCTCATGAGAACTCCCTGAGTGCAGCCAGTTTCATCACCAGGTGGCCACCATTAGCATTATCTTCTTGCTTTTGCTAAACTCCTCTGAGAGGAGATAAACTCTGTCAATTCCAGAATCTGAACATAAAATGCGCCAGCCGACTTTCTGTGGGCACCTCTCCCACTGTGCATGTTTAATTAAAGAGTCTGCTGGGGATTTTTCTACTTGGATGACTTCCTTACGCTTTCTGTCCTCTCCGTCTTGCACCGGCAATGACTTGATTAAGCTACACAGCTCATCTGCAGTGTGTTTCTGGGCAGACAAGAGTTAGCATGCGTCTGGCTTCTCATTCCTCTTTGCAATGCTCATGACTAATGTTGGCTCTCTCTCTTCCCCGGGTTGTGAATTTCCCCCCGTTCTGTCAGTCAGGTGACTAAAGGGTGAACAAAAGAGACAAAGATGGAAAGGCAAGGCACCAGAGGAAAGCTGTGGCCCATGTTCATTAAAAATACAACAATTCAATGAATAAGTTTGGCAGTATGCATGCGTGCACATACACCCCTACTCCCCAATAGCATTTTTTGACAAAATACTTCCTAAGCAAAGCAAAGCAGATCAATTCCAGTGCCCGAGAAGAGATGGCATTGTCTACCCAGAATCATGTACTTGGCATTACTGGGTGAGTTTCAGAATATTTCTGTTATGTTTATGATGGCCAACATATTTGTGAATGGACTCTGCACTCCTAGATGGTGTGGCTACTCTGAACCAGAGGGCAGCGGGGCGCTCACAGACCTCCCAGGCTTAACCCCAGACCGAGCACACACACACACACACACACACACACACACACACACACACACACCCGCCAAGAGAACTCATCCCCTTACCATCAGGCCGCTGCACCAGTGGTGTGGGTGGGCCTCGCACACTTCTCCGTGCTTCTCTGTTTGTTACGAAGCAGGTGTAGTTGCCCACATCGGACGGTTCCACTTTGGCGATGTACAGGTTGCCTGTCTCCTGAGAAACAAATCTCCTGTTGTCCTCTTGGACGTGCAAAGGGTTGTCGTTGAAGGTCCACGCGTAAGATAAATCTGGAAAACAGGAAAAAGACCTCGTGTCCTTACCAGGTTCCTCCTCCTCTGGAAGTTCGGTGCCCTGTTTATCCATGATGAGAATAAGTTCTCGCCCCTGTTTGTCCAGAGTGTGTCTGTAGTCTTGGAGTAATGGTAAAATTCTCTCATATTCAGATGTAGCCCGGTTTGGGTGCTACATTCTCTGGCCATCCTGCCCATGATGGCCGGAAGGCAAAGGCAGGATCTGGAGCGGGCGGGGATGTCAGAGTGCTGTCTGACTCCTAGAATGAGGAAGATCCATAGAAAGGTCAGAGTCGCTGAACTGGGAGCAGTGAGCTCTCCATCATCACTGGTGGCCAAGCAGAGGGCGGACTAGCATCGCTTGAGATGTTGCAAGATTTCTCTTTGCAGAGGTCAGAAGTGGGGAGGTGGAACCCATGTTTCTGTGAATGGCCTACTCTGCCTTCCGCATTCCTTTGATCTCCCTAAGAGTCTGTGTTTCGCCAAGAATGAACAAATGCAATTCACTTCTTTTTTTTTTTTTTAATATATTTTATTGATTTTTCACAGAGAGGAAGAGAGAGGGATAGAGAGTTAGAAACGTCGATGAGAGAGTATCATCGATCATACTGGGGATGTGCCCGCAACCAAAGTACATGCCCTTGACCGGAATCGAACCTGGGACCTTTCAGTCCACAGCCCGACACTTTATCCACTGAGCCAAACCAGTCCCGGCTCACTTCTTATTTTTTTAAAACATGCTCTGGAGTTCTCGTCCATTCCCAGTTACCAAGTGTTTTCTTCTGCGAGTCCCTCCCGGTGTCCTTCATCATCTGAAGGGGTCTCTTGTCTCTAAGTTTCTTTACCAATGCCCTCTGCTGCCTCACGTCCATGCCTCTTGCTCCGTCTCCACCAAAAAGGTGTTCCAGGGATTTTGTTGGAAACCACAGAGCCATTTAGATCATCAACTTTTCTTCAACATAAAGAGGAGGACAAATGCAGTTCACATTCCCCAGGTTTCAAGGGCTCCTCATCTTTTGAACTTTTTATGGAACAAAGGTTCTCTTTTGTGGAACAAAGATGCTCTTGAGCCAGTGTCCAGGCCATGTTGAGCTGAGGGGTCTAAGATCAGTGCCGCCGTGTGAGAGAAACCAGCGCCCGCTCTCTGAAAGCCAAGGTCACCCCTTTCCCATCACAGAAATGACAGGTTGCCTCTTCTTGTGCCTCCAAATCTTTATTTCCTATACCCTGTAATCTTGGGATCTGAGGCCATAATTCCCATTTCTCCCTTGGGATTTCACTGTTACTTTAGCTGCTAAAACGTTTCAACCTGTTTCTGTTTGCAGTATGTCCTTCAAGATCAGAACTTGTAGGAGCTCCTGCAACAATGTGGCCCAGGAATAGGGACGATTCCATAAGAATAATAACCACAAAAAGAGCTCTCTCATTGCATTCCTGTTTCATCATCCTGAGGATGTGTGCTGTGAGGCTGCTGCCATTGCTCCCCTATAATGAAGGGGTGTGGATGTCGCATTATTGATACAAGGACCAGAACCTAGATCCTTCAGAAGCCACATCCTTTGCTCCCTCCTCCAGTACCACCTTTCTTCTTCTCTTTGTTCCTTCAAGATTCTCAATGCTTGCCATAGCTACCCTCCTCACACTCAGGCTTCTTTCAAACCCCCAAGCTCAGGGCATACCCAGCCCTTCTCATATGTGGGACGGCTATTCCTTACCTCCTACTCCTCCCCCTCAACACTGCCTGCCCTGAGCTCAGCGTCTCAGAATCTGGTGGGATCGAAGGTTAACCTGTCACTCAAAATGTCTATAGCCAGTATTAGCAGGGAATGGAGCACACCTGTGAAACTCCTAACAACTAATTCTCTCCAAAATGGCCAGTGTAGAGCAGAGATTCTAAAACTTGAGTGTGCCTCAGAATGGCCAGGGGGAGTTGGTAAAACCCAGACTTCTGTGTCCCGCCCCTGAAGGCTGGGTCAGTGGGAGGAGTCAGAGTGCTAGGTTGGATCAAATGATTGCAAGGATAACCCTCCACTGGGACCTGATCTTTAGCCCACTTCACAACCCACATTCCCTTTCGCTTAGACCACATTCCACTCGCTAAGACCAGCACCTTTCCCTTCAGAGCTCACCCAGAGAATTCTCTGCCACAAACACCCGCCGAGGGACCTTTAAAATCTCTGACTCCCTGTCCCTGGGGGTTGTCGCCGTTTGGGGGCTCAGTCCACATGGTCTCCAGATAACCTACCAAACTCATAACTCTTTACCCCTCTTGGCCTCCTGCGTTCCTGCTCTGGGACCCTGACAGATAATTCCACTGCTGGCAATCCCAGGTGCTGCTGGCCTGGGCCCAGGTCTCCACGTTGAAAACTGTCTACATCAAGGTCAAACCCCATCTCTGCTGCAGGAGCGCACCCGGAGGGAAGCCCTGGAACTTGGGGAGAAGGGGGTCTCCGTGGTCCTGCCTCCGGGAGCTGTGGGGCCTGGAGAAGAGCGTGCTCTCAATACAGAGGTTCAGGGCTGGCTGGGATGGAGGCGGCCTGAGAGGTCTCCCCGGCCTCCTGTTCCCGGTGAGCAGGCAGGGGGCGATGACAGTGCCCTCGGCAGCTGCCACCCAGGGGCCCTTGCTGCTGCAGTGATGGCTGATCCTGTCACACGGTCCCTCCCCCGCTGACTCTGCCTTCAGGGGCCCTCATCTGCTTGGTTTCATCAGCAGCCACTGCGCTTAATCTGTCTATTTTTTAATAGGGCAAGAAAAAAAAAAAAAAAAAAAAAAAAAACCTCTGCAAATTGGAAGTTTAAAACCCTTCCCATTTGGCTTTCCTTAATTAAATGCATAATTCATGAGCCACTTTATTTGAAACGGTTGCATTTTTAAATATTTCCCCTCCACACACCCCCCCCCCACCCACACACACATATACACACACACACATTCTCGCCATCCCTCTGTTATTAATGGCCCCGGGCCTGTACAGGGGTGACTCAGCAGTGACAGTGGAGCCTGTTGGTGATCAGTGAACAGCGTCCCCAACAAAACCCTCCACACTGTTATGCTTTGAAATGGCAGCTCCGCAGGAGGCAGTTGCGGCTCCTCCCTGGCTGCTCTCTCAAGCATGCACAGATCCTGTTTTCCCTAGCACCAGGGTGTTTTGACATCCTGTACAGCCTTATATCTTGTACTGTGATATTTAAAACGCAAACACGCAAGATATGTGCAATTATACCCATTACCGGGGACACGGTTTTTATTAGCGAGGAAGCGTGGCGGGCAAAAGCGACCAAGAAGGAGCAGCGCTGGCCCCGTGGCCTGCTCCTTGCTGCAGAAAATAAGCCAGTCAACACTTGGGGGCACAGCGATCGGATTCAGCGGAACCCGCGCCCCCTCCCTTTGGAATATTCCAGAATGAATGTACTGTACCGCAAACCTTGTGCATTGCTCCGGGGTTGGGCGTGACAGGCTCTTGGCGGTCCATCACAGCGATGCTAGCTCAGGGGGCAAAGACCTCATCTGAGAGAAAGAATTCCTCTTCTGGGCTGAAGTCGTTAATGTCGGTGCTAAACCAGGAAACGGCTGCACCTTTACGACCACTTCGATCGGAGTCTCCATTTGTTCCGTGGTTACTGCTGGGCAGTAACTCCTGGGCTTCACCGCTGGATGCACGGCCTCCTGGCTGCAGTGGAGACGGCGCTGTGCGGTCCAGAGCGGACTGTGGTTAAGGCTAAGGCCTCTGAGTCCAGGTTCCAGAGGCCCGTTTGGGTGCTGGCTGGTCCTACTGGGCAGGAAGGACAACTCAGCCAGATTCTGGGCTGCTGGGAAGCTCTGACCTGAGGAGGAAGAGGCCGGTCCTGGGTTCCGGAAGGCAGGCCCTTGCTCTGGGGAGGTCACTCCAGTGATGTGAGGGGGGCTCTGACAGGTGCTTCCAGCAGGGGTGATGTTTCCACCAGGAAACACTCAGCAATGTTTTTAACATCTCTCACTCCTGCTCTGGAGACTGGGAGTGACTAGGACATCGAGTGGGTAGTGGCCAGAGAGGCTGCTGAGGGCCCACAGGTTCAGCCCAGCCCCCACTGCGGGGTTACCACCCCCTAGTGGTCAACAGTGGCGTGTGGAGAAAGCCTGGGCTCTGGTGATCCAGCCGACATGTTTCTCTTCCTTCTGGAAGCCTTTCTTGGCACAGCTCCCTTTTCCACAGCGGTGAGAAAGGGAAAGGAAGGATAAGGCGCTGTTTTAAATGAGTCACTGACAGACACCCCCGGGCTCTCGGCGAGTCTGGAGGTGTGAGCTGGGATGAGCAATGAGGTCTATGTGCGAGACGGTGCCTCTCCCAGCCCCCGGCATCGCTTGACGTCAGAAAGCCCGGGTTGTAATCTTGCCTTATTTAAGGACTGAAAAACGATGTCCTTGGTTCATGGAGTCTCAGTTTCCTCATTTAAACTTAATAATTATGAACCATTGGAATAGTGGAATGAGGAACTAAAAGCAATGACCTTCTAGAGCTTGCTCATGGGAACCATTGGCAGCTATTTTGATGATGATGATGATGAAGAATACTTTCTCCCTCCCTCTAAGGTAGGGGTGTCGAACTCAATCAGAGAAGGGGCCAAAATCTAAAATCCAGCCTAAATCGCGGGCCGAATGGTTTACTGAACAGTCATAAACTGTCATTGTGATGGAAATGCAGCGGAGTGCAGTGATGACAGCGCGGTGCGGGCCACATTGCAAGGCTTGGCAGGACGGATTTGGCCCGCGGGCCTTGTGTTTGACACATGTGCTCTAAGGAAATGATGACTACTTGTATAAGTTGGGTCAAAAGGTGTCTGTCACTACCCCTCAGTTCTGAATGGGAGAGCTCTACACAGTCCACGCTCCCTGCCTTGACAACACCAGGAAGCCCAGGGCTGTCCCTGAGTCGTGGCTGAAACTCCTTCAGTTCCCGGGTGAGGCCAACATCATGTACGTGTGAAGTCCTGCTCCTGCCTTACAGAGGACACGGTGGCATCTGGTACCGGGCAAGCTTGCCATCAGGTGCATGCCCAGGGCTCAGCCACTCAGCTCTCAGCCATCTTCTAAGGTCATCTGGGCAGGTCTGAGGTTTGGTCTCACGGCTTTGCGAGAGGGCGCCGTACCCAGGAAGCTTGGCCTGCGTCCAAGGTCAACATGTTCTCTAACGTCCTGGGGGACGAGGTGGGAGGAGAGGCCTCTTGCTGGGCTGCCTTTTTAAATGGTGACATTGACTTACGCACAGTTTACATGCCTGTTCTCCTTCTTTAAACAAAGTTGAAAATAATCTTCGATTCCTCCAAGACTCTGGCCAGAGTCAGAGCCCAAAGAGACCTGGGAGACAGATGTGAGGAACAGATGTGATGTCCGTGTCCTGTCACCTTCGACTATGGTCCTGGGAAACGTGCTCCTGCGGTTAGAGTGCAGCGCCATCGGAGTTCTGCGTGCTCTGGAATAATGTTATTTCACCCCAGACAGCCTTAAAGACATTGTACGCGTCCCATGATATTTCCGGTGAGTGGACTGCCGCACGACTCAGTGATAATATTGAATTAAAACACTGTCAAGTTGTAATTAATTTCCTCTCCCTTTTATATCTACATTCCATTAGACTCCCTTAAGAATGGAAATGATGGGGGAATCGCTTCAAGATTTTAAAGAAACACAATACGATTTGGTTTCATAGTTGGGGGAGAGTTGCCTTCATTTCATTTTAAATATCAGCCCCATCTGTTCCAGAGTGAACCCGCTGTTGGCCAGGCAGGTGGTCAGAGGCAGGTGGCGGGGACCTGCTGGGGCTGGTGCTGGGCAGGCAGATCAGACGCTCGGCCTCGCTGACCTTGGAACAGGTACCTGCCCCCCCTCTGCCTCGGAATTCTCATCTGCAGAACAAGAAGTCTCCCCATCTCCTGAAGCGGCAGCGGGAATGCCAGGAGGTCGTACCTGGGCAGTGTTGGTAGCTGTGCTGTGAGGACTCGCTGCTGTTCTTGCACCAACTCACACCCTCAGCACGACCCAGGCTGTCCGAATGAGGTGACCCCAAGGCATCTTTAAATGCCTCCTCGGGGCTCACTGGGGCTTGAGAATCTACCACGTCGTGTAGAGTTTGTGAAAATGCAAACTCGGCGGAGGCAGAATCAGTGGGTGGCTTAGGTCGCTGGGATCCCTTCCAGATAGAGACTGGCATTTCCTGCTTCAGTGCCGTTGCTGGAAGATGCTCGGATGCCATCCAACTCGGGCTGCCAGTGGCGGGGAACGCTCCTCTCCCAGCAGCGACTGTGATGTGGCCAAAAGGACTGTGGGGATGTGCTTCTCCAGGGAGCCCACTAAGCAACATGACTTAACCACCCCAGCTTTCAGTCTTGAACGAAGCGCTGGTCCTTGCACTAATCAACTGGTGCTTGTGAGCTCGCTTACCATTTGCAACAGCGCTGCCGGGGCGATGCCAGTTACAGAACCTGCTCTACCGCGGAGAGAGCTGAGCCTGAAGAGGGGGGCGTAATGGTCCCTGTGGGGCGGGGGACAGGCAGCAGATCACAGTGAGGCTCCCTGCTCCCACTGGGCTCCTGCTGCCTCTTAAGGACCGATTTGCTGAGTGGCTGCTTAAATCGTTATGTTCAAAGGACAGATTCGGATGAGGACTGTTTGGATGCGGGAGAACGACGTTGAAAGGAGTCAAGGTTACGGTAGGGGCAGAAAGAGAATACTGGGGGCCAGCTATAATTGTAAGAAATGTCAATCCTGTTCTGTGAACTGGGGTTGTTTTGTTCTGATTGAAGAAGGCAGATTCTCACCTGGCTGGCAGGGACTGGGAGCTCACCTGGAAATGCAGCCCATCTTCCCACCAGGGACCTGCCTGTTATCATGGAAAGATTAACAATCTTGTTGCAGAAACCATAGCTACCAGCCCTTTGGAGGCCCCCAGCCTTTGCATACCTGTAGGTCTTTGCAAATCCCCAGGCCCTATGACCTGTAAACTGCCCATGTGGCCTATGCTTTGCCTACTTCCCCAAGTAATCCCTGTCCTTGTACCCAATGTAAGCAGCTGGCTTATGGGGAGAGGCAGGGCAGATGCTTGTGGGTGACCTGCTGCTCTCCCATGCTGCCGGCAGGACTGCAATAAACACTCACATAGGATTCAACCCTGTCTCTTCTGAATTGGCTCCAGTAGGACAGGCAGCACAGACCCACTGACTGTCCGGTTATAGTCCCTTTGGGTTGAGGAAGGGCTACCACATCAGACTCCAGGACCTGACGTGGCCAAGTGGACGGTGGGACCCTGGTCACCCCGCCGTACCTCCGAAGTGTGGGGGTGGCCTGCAGAGGAGCACCACGCCTTGGCCTTCTCGGACGGACACCGCACTTCTCGTTTTGGTCTCAAAGTCTTCGATATCTTGGAAAAGAAAGAACACGTTAGAATTAGTTATCTTGTAGAAAGAAAGAAAAAGGCATTATAAGGAAGAATCTTAAACTACTTTTTATTATTAACATAACTAACGAATGCTCCTCGTTGACGGACCAGCAGATTTCATTGATGATCGAGTTAAGTGCTCTGATTGAAGAGTCAACAAGAAACAGGTGGATTGACTTCACTCACTGTCTGTTCACTCCATTCTCCCTGGCAGCCAGGAGCCCAGCGGAAAGGAGGTGAGACTTGGGAGGAAGAACAAGGGTTTGGGGGGTGAGGGTGCTCCACATGGTCAAGGGAAGGACATGATGATCCAGACCAGACATGGGGGATGTCCTTGAAAGCCCAGGAAAGTGGTGAGCAGTGCCCTTGGGAGGCTGCATTGTGAGGAAGGAGAAACCTAGACAAAAGCTGTCCCTGCTGATACACCATGGACCACAGAGGCACGTGCTAGGTGGATGGCATCATTTTTTGCAGTAGTTTCAAATTTCTCAGTGAAACCAGCAGGAGTGTTGGGTGGGTCATTTGAGGAGACTGGAGGTGCAATAAGTAGACCTGCTTAGCAGAGCTGTTATGGGGATTAAAATGTTTAATTTTTTCTGGAATCAGCAGGGAATAGAGTAAGTACTTCATACCTCAATATGCAATAGCAGCTTTGATTATGGCATACCCAGTCATTATATTTTTCTCTAACTGATACGAACCTCAGATGCACAAATCCACAGATACAGGCAAAACAGCACACTTCAGTTCCAATAAGACATTTTGTAGGTGAGTGATTCCATTGGAAGAACCCACACTGTTTGTCTCTCTTAAAATATTATTTCCCAAGTAAGTGTTCTTTCTGTACACTTTGCTTTCTATTCATGGAAAATAAAAGAGTTGGTCCGGCCAGTGTGGCTCAGTGGTTGAGCATCCACCTATGAACCAGGAGATCATGGTTCTCTTCCAGGTCAGGGCACATACATGGGTTGCAGGCTCGATCTCTAGGTGGTGTGCAGGAGGCAGCCAATCCTGATTCTCTCTCATCATTAATGTTTCTATCTGTCTTTCCTTCTCCCTTTTTCTCTGAAATCAATGAGAATGTATTTAAGAAGTAAGAGTTTGGTGAAATAGATGCAGTAGTTCTGATTTTGTGAATTTAATAACTCTTACCTGTACTCTACTTTTAATAATAAACGTACTTGACCAGAGGGACTCCATTCCCCTCACCTATGCTCCCCGCAGTCCCACCTGCTCTTCACCCATTGCCACTTGGGTCCCCCTAACTGAGGACCAGGCTTGCCTTGTGTGTGTCTTACAGAGGATTTCTAACCCAACATGCCTCTTTCTCCTTGGCCAGAGGACGCTAAGTAAGCCCACCTCCATCAGCACTGTGGCTGGAACTGCTGCCGTAACCTGGGAGTCCTCTGTGACTTGGGTCTCCATCCCTTCAAATGTCACCCAGTAAGAACTCGGCAAACAAACTGTATTTAAAATAAAAAAGCCAACACACTGAACTCTTGTTTCTATGTCTAGTAGTAATATAGGGAGGAATAGTAATGTCTTCTTTCTTACTCTCATCACGGGAAGGCTCTATGAAATTGTCATTCCTTCTTAATGGCCACAAGACCAAAAACTGTCACCGAGGAGCAATGAACAATTGGGTGATCCTAGGAAACAAAGAAGCTGTGCAGGGACCTTCCCTGGACATGGTCCCCACGCCCAGTCACATCCGTCATGCTCCCTGCTCATCGGAAGCCGGGAGTTTCGATGGTACCACCGATGCCACCATGTGTTGTGCCCACTTCCACCGGAACAGCATCCACCTGCACCTCCCTTCTTCGTGCCGCTGAGGGTTGCTGTGGGGTTTCTATTCGCTTCTCTCCAGAGTCCCGCAGGCCTGTGAGCTGTCAAACAGCCATTCGAAATGGGGCTAGTTTGCAGGTTTTTGTTAATAATTCAGATTTCAAAGCTGTTTAATGGCACACAGAACAGAGACAAGACATAATTTCGCATTGCCTCTGGGAGGGGCCGTTTCCTGTGGATGTGCTGCGAACAAGATCTATTTTAAGTGTCCGACCTGGTTTTCAGCTCCCTGCCCCGCCTCTGCCAGCAGGAAACATGGTGTCATTCAGATCATTCTGAGGTGAGGGCCACTGAGGTGGGCTGCCACGGGGCATCCAATGAAATTTCCTTTGCTCTGTACAGCGTTAAGGACTCTAAATAAAATATATATATATATATATATATATATATATATATATATATATACTGATATAATAGAGGAAGGGAGAGGGAGAGAGATAGAAACATCCATAAGGAGAGAGAATCATGGATCGGCTGCCTCCTGCCCGCCCCACACTGGGGATTGAGCCCACAACCCGGGCTTGAGCCCTGACCGGGAATCGAACCGTGATCTCCTGTTTCATACTCAGTGCTCCACCCCTGAGCCAAACTGGCTGGGCTAAGGACTGTAGATTTGCTCTTTTACAAAGGTCAGGCCAGAGGGAAGCAATAGTTTCTATTTTTGTTCTGTCCCTTTTTGGCTAAGAGAATACAGCTGAGGGTGAGCTCATTGATGGAGATGGTCTCAAACTCTGATCGGTGGGAAGATTTCCATCACCCCCAGGTGGCCTGCAGGCTGGCCTTGTGCTCAGGTGCAGGCCCTGCAGTGCTGTCCAAGTCCCCGATGGCCCAGGGGGCCCTTGCTCAGCTACCCAATGACCAGGGCTGAGGGCACCCTTGGTTTCTCTCTGGTTTGGGGGGAAGCCTTTGGAGGAAGCCTTTGGCCGGAGCAGAAGCAAAAGTGTAGTCGCAAACGGATCTCCTCTCCAAAAATCAGAGGAAGTGCCTGGCGAGGGCCCATGAAACGCTCTGTTCCAAATCACCGGGCCATCTGCTCTCTCTTGGCGCCAAGAGGTGCAGGGGAGGGACGGAAACCATGGAAATGGCCTTAACACGAAGCCCAAGCACTGCTGTGAACTGCGATGGCCAGTGGTAAGGCAAAACCATTTCCACAACCGCCACATGTGGGAATGAATCTCAGCATCATCCGAGGAGGGAGACTGAGTGTTCGCTGCGAAAGCCTGAGGACCACTTTGGAGGATGTGCTTGGCGCCAGCCTGACACCAGAAGGAGGCACAGGCCGGCCAACTCTCCCTCGTAAGCTGGGAGGAAGGCTCTGGGGACCCAGTTCACTGGCCCAAACCCAGAGGGTGGCCGCCCAGCAGCCGGGGTAGGAAGTGTGCCCATGCCAAGGAGGACACGGGACTCTTGAGCTGTGCAAATCTGCACCCTGCTCACCGGCCCTTCCTCTGTTTGCCAGTTTTGAATGGCTTTACGTATGTTTTAAATCTTTTCTTAAAAGATCAAGAATAACCACTCTGTGCCAGACGCTCCTGAGGAGCTCCTTTCATCCTCAGGGCAATGCTGGGACTCGGGTGCCACTGTCACATCCATCCAGCAGGAGAGACTGCGGCTCCCGAGGACCAGCAGCTGCCTGAAGGAGGACCACAGCCACTGCAGATCAGGGCAGGCGGAGTGGAAAGCCGCATCTGGGTCGGAGCTCGCAGCCAGTCCAGCTGCTGCCTGGCCCTCCGGCCGCACCAGAGAAAGCTGCTCCAGCTGTCACCCAGTGTCCGGAGGAACAAACCAAAATGCAGGAACTCAGGGCCTTTTCAGAGCTCCCTGCTGGGGAATGCTGCATTTTTAGGCTTTAGAAATAGCTGTTTCTGATCTCCTCATTCCCCCAAACCCCTGGTTTTCCCTCTCCAGGTGTGTTTCTCAGTTTATCCTGCAACCTGGCATCTGTGTGGACAAGGTAGTCAGTCTCTTAAGTTAAAAAAAAAATTATGAGAAGAAGGGAGAGGGAGCGAGAGAGAGAAAATCAATGACAGAGAATCATTGATCGGCTGCCTCCTTCACGCCCCCTACTGGGGATTGAGCCAGTAACCTGGGCATGTGCCCTGACCAGGAATGGAACTATGACTCCCTGGTTCATAGGTCAATGCTCAACCACTGGGCCTCATCTCTCAACCTGACCAACCTACAGAGACTCTCCCCCCAAGACACACACACACACACACACACACACACACACACAAACACACAAACACACAAAATGTTATTGCACTTGTGCCTCTATCAGTCTTACCGATTCAGTAAGGTGCTGCCTGAACACTTCAAACCCAATATTAGATATGCAGGGCTCCCTCACTCCAGCCCCTCCCCTGTCATTCAGATCTGAGAACCCCTCCCTCCCCTCCCCACATCTTCTACATCCCGAATACCATCCTTTCTTGTAGGAGCAGGAAAAGCAAAATCCCACACACACCTTTCCTCTTCAAAGAGGCCCCCTGCCTCCAGCACTGGTTGCTGCCCTCAGAAATGGGTGGGTGTGCCCCAGTTCCCACAGCTTCTAAGCACAGGAAACAGTTTAATTCTGAACGCTGAGGCCCTTGGGGGCACTTGCTGAACCACCAGGCTAGACAAGAGGCTCTTAACCAGAGCTTCACCCAAGACACACACACCCAGAGCTGCCCCCAAACCAGAGACGGTGCTCAGCTTCTCTCTCTCGGAGCCTCAAAAGCAATCTCAATTATCTGTTACTTTGAGGACCTGGAGTCTCATTTTAAGCTCTAAGATTTTTTTCAGCCCTCCTTCTGCTTCCTACCGGCAGAATACCATGTCCCCTTCCTGGGTCTTTCTGAAGAAGGCTCAACATCCAATGCTGTGCTGAGTCCCTAGGACAGAGGAACCCTGGTCACCTTCAGCACGCAGGTCCCATGCAGAGCTATGGCCTGTGTTTGACCGACAGCAAAACATTTTAGTGGGCGAGAAAGTGCTAGTACCCTGCACAGCAAAAGGGGATGGTGAAAGATGCCAAGAATCTGGTCAGGGACATGGACCTGGTGAACAGGGCAAGGCAAACGCCCCATTACATCTCTGCTGCCACTGCTGGCAGTGCAAGCCTCGGCCCGACCTGGTTATCACCATCTGAGGCT